CACATTTTAATGTTTCCAATACTGAAACAAATAATCACTCTGCAGAATAAAGCAACATACCATCTCAAACAGCATATTGGTTGGGGCAGTTTCTCAAAAATGTGCGTCATTTTGGCTCTACTAAATTAGTTACTTTCTATAGTTTCTTACTAAGTTAGAAAAATGTCAATTAACACTTCATTGAAGCTATAGAACAACAGAAGTTTTCAATCTTAAAAAGGTGCTCAGTGCACCAATCATATCTCTGCTGAACGTTTGCTGCAGTAATTTATAATTAAATCAAATGGCCTAAAGACCAATTCACTAAGAGGGTGGATGTAAACTATATGATTGAGGTACTCTTCTATAGTTTACAAATGCCTGAACGTTTAGAAATCATATATATTCTTTGTTACTTGCTTAATATCTGCCTCAACGACAACAAAACTACAACAGGTAGCCAATTCCTTTATTCATTAACGGGATGAGGGCGTCGCTGGCTAGGCAGCATTTATTGCCCATCCCTAATTGCCTAGAGGGCAGCTCAGAGTCAACCACATTGCTGTGGGTCTGGAATCACATGTAGGCCAGACTAGGCAAGGATGGTGGTTTCCTTCTCTAAAGGACATTAGTGAACCAGATGGGTTTTTCCGACAATCGACAACGAATTCACAGTCGTCATTCGATTCTTAATTCCAGATATTTTACTGAATTCAAATTCCACCATCTGCCGTTGCAGGATTCAAACCCGGGTTCCCAGAACGTTATCTGGGTCTCTGAGTTAATAGTCAGTGATAATACCACAAGGCCATCGCCTCCCCAGTTCTAACAGTACATGAGGAGATACAACACAAAATAAAAATACAAGAAAATAAGATCAAAAAAAAAGAGACAAATCAAAAATAATATCATATGATCTATTAGATTATCTATTTTAGAGCTTCGAGTCAGAGACCAATAACTATACGGTTACAAATAGCATCAATACTAAAGCAGCTTGACACCAAGGCCAAAGCAGTCACTTGACTGGCACCACATCCAAAACATTCACTCCCTCCACCACTGATGCACAGAAGCAGCAGTATGTACCATCTACAAGATGCACTTTAGAAATTCACAAAAAGCTCCTTAGACAGTATCTTCTGAACATATGACCATTTCAAGCTCGGAGGACAAAGGCAATAGATACACAGCGACATCACCATATATTGCCGTTCCTTCAGTGTTGCTGGGTCAAAGTCCTGGAACTCTTCCTAATGGCATAGTGGGTTTATCTATTTCATATGAATTGCAGTAGTTCAAGAAGGCAACACATCACCACCTTCTCCATGAAGAAGAAGAATGGGCAATAAATGCTGACCCAGTCATTAATGCCCACATCACATGAATTAATTTTTAAAACTTATGTCCCCTGGTTCTTCCCCCTTCTGCTAATGGGAACAGTTTCTCCATATCTTCTCTGTCCAGCCCCCTTATAATGTTGAACCCACCTACCACTGTACCTTCTCTTTACTAAAGAGAACAGCTCCAGCTTTGTCCATCTATTTGCAAATCCATCATTTACTGGGGCATTGTTAGAAGTCATTTCTGCACCATAGCCAGTAAATTCACATTCTTCCTAAAATATGGTGCGCAGAATGGCACAATGCTGCAGCGGAGTTCAAGTCTGTGTTTAAGTTCACCCCAATTTCCTTGCTTTCATAATTTTATGAACAAAAGCATAATGTCTTACTAAGTCCTGAATCAGATATACTGTATATATTGTTAATCACCTTCTCAAACTGGTTTACCACCTTCAACAACTTGTGCACAATAACCCCACCAAGGAGAAGGTACAATGAAACCCCGCTACTCAGACAACCCCCTTGGAAATATATCCTGTAAATCATCTTTCCTCATGGTATGAAGAACAAGGTAAAACAAACATAAGTACTTCTGTGCACTAATTCTAACGCATCGTCTCCATCTATTCCACTAACTTATGTCCTCTTGAAGTCTATCATAACCCTGCTCACAGCTCATAATGTCATCTTCAAATTTTGTCCTGTGCCCCCAAGTGTAAATTATTAAAATTGGTTAACAAAAGCAACGATTCTAATAGTGACACTTGGGAACCTCCCCATAAACTTTCCTCCTGTCCAAAAAAACAACCGTAGACCACTATTCTGCTCTTATCAATCTACTCTTTTACTTCATAGAAATACTCAAATTCATTAAATATGATTTCCTTTCAACATGTCCATGTCGACTTTCCTTAACTAATCCATATTAATCCAAGTAATTGTTAACTTTGCTGCAGAATATCATTTCTAAATGCTTTCTCACCAAAGTTAAACAGACTGGCCTTTGGTTGCTGAATTTATCCTTAGACTTTTTCTTTGAACAAGGGTGTAACATTCAAACTTTTCCAATCCTCTGGCACTAGATTTATCAATTGTTTGAATTTTACGACCCACAAGCTGTTGTGGCAGGAACTGGACTTGTATCTTTCAGTTTCAGTAATACCCTATTAATATTACCACAATACCATCATTTTCAATGGAATCTAACAGCTCCCACTACATTTTATAAAAAAAAATTATGCTAACAAGTACGGTGACAGAATGGTCATATGAATATCTGAACAGAAAATTAGTGGATGGAAGACGAGCCAGTTTTAAAGAACCAACAGAAGCGTGTAAGTAAAAATAGAGAAAAACTAGAATCAAAAAGTGGTATAAAGAAATTAACACACTTTCATTATAATAAGAGTGGACATATCAAAGCAAATGGCTGAAAATTAAATGGAGACTGATTGCAATATACGAAAGTATAAGGAGTTCTCAGAAAAGGAGACAGCAAGAAAAGAAGTAGGTACTAAAACGGTAACAGTGATACAAAGTAAACATTCTGTGGAAAATGTTTAAAGAATAGAGGATGGCACACTCATGAAAGTTATATTTTGCAGCTTAATACAACCTTCTCTCTCAAATGAACCTCCAAAGTAGACTGAATCAATCTCAATGGTCTCTCCCTAAGTTCTGTGCAGTTTCTTAGGGTCTCCGAGTAACCTCGCGTGAAATTATTGGCATTATGATTTTCCCTCAAAAACCCCAGTTGTCAACTCCAAATCCACATGTCCAACTCCAAGAACCCAAACTAACAGCAAATGACACCAAAATATACATATATAAATCTCTAAGTTTCACTGTACCTTCTCATTAACGAATCCCTGAAAACTAGGCCTTGCCAGATGCTGTTTCATACCCAGAAGCTGCCTGAACAGTGGGACTCCACTGGTAAGGCATACAATAGGTTGAGAAACTCAAACTGACTGACTCACAATTTATAATCTGTGAGTTCTCTCAATGGTAGGGGGCAGTGAGTCTGGCCCAACGCAGACTACAAAACTGAAAATGATAGCCTTTGGCTTTATCATGTTAAAGGAGCTTAAGTCGTATTACATGAAAGAAATTTCTGTTAAGAATTGCGTTTTGCTGGGACATATTTGTCACATATCTTGACAGGTACTGCCGTAGATTTAGAAGAAAGTGAACACAAATTAATTATTAAAGCAGCTGCTTCAATATTTGGCTAGATTTCACAAATCATTTATCTGCTGGCCAAAATTCTGGATTCCAATTAAGGGTCTATTACAAACAGTATTTTTCAGAAAACTACAACTTGCAGTTTCTATAAACAGAGGATTTCTACTTACTTTCAAAATTTTCTAATACTCATAGCTTAAATCCTCCATTAAATGTACATTATATTAACTTTACTCTTCATTAGGGGCTAGTATTCTTTTCAGTATTAAAAAAAATTGACTGAAGTTTATTGCAATAATTATTGAACACTTTCCAGTCTAGCGTCTTAAAAAGCCTCAAGATCCTATTAGAAAATTACATGCATTTTTTGAGAACTACCAGCTGCACTGCAGGTAAAGTTGTGTTCTACATTCAACTGCACAGGTGATATCAGTCATGTTTCCAGTTATTCCTTCAAGTGACATGTAAAATAAAACAAAATAAAATAAAACAAATAAGAAGTATCACCAAACTTATACACAGTGCTTTTCTTTTTTGGGGGCCTTACCAGCCTGAAGTAGCATCAGTGCACACAGGGTAACTGAATCTGTGTTGTGGTTTGCAATTGCTTTCGTATCCCCAGCAGGACTGCAGCTTCCTCAAGTGTTTCTACAACAAAAGTAGACATGCAATTAGCTTCTGTTTCTCAAGGTCAACAACATGTTCTCCATATTTCATCCAAATTATTATCTATTCATTCTTTACATTTTTTTTAAAAAATGTGTCAAAATGAAAACAACAAAATGGTCAAAAAAGCAACAATACACCAAAAAATTATAATCACAATCAATTATTACTGTGATTCCTCACAATTCTTCCTTTATTCTGAATTTTTGAATAGGACCACAGTTTAACTGACATGTCCAGATAATTAGCAGGATTAAATTATTTATAAATTTATATCACTATATAAATTATGCATATACGTTGTATACATTTTCAAAGCTGATTCAGAGGCAGTAATGACAGCTCAGCCCTTTAAGTCACCACAGTAGAGTGCCATAGGTTAATGCCACAAACCCAAACTTATTAAATACCCATTTTGGTCATAAAATGGTTGCAAAAAACTAAATATTTCCCAATGTTGACAAATAAAATGGATTATTCCCAGCTATTTTCACAGAACAAATTCAAAGTTTTCAAGGTTCAAAGTAACACGACTGGGGACATTACTTAGGTTCGTCATTTACCTGGTTACAAGTACTCCACAAACTAGCACAATGGTTATCATTTTGTTTCAAAACACCTATGTTTTTGGACCAGTCAACTTGCTTTTCACTGCACAAATGCAAAAGACCCTAATCAAACCATGTCAACAAACATTGTATTTTCTGATGCTTCAGCAAAAGGTAATCTTTTACGTATGGTGAATATATGGGAATGTAGTTTTATTTTTAAGTGTCAATACATATTTAAGATTCACTTTCACACTGAACACAAAGCTAACTCCTTTTGGATCCCAAAGGCACCATTATCAACTGTTCTTATTTTTCTCTAATAGTAAAATAAAAACCATTTTAATAATATTCAGTACAATTCAAGCATTCCATAGGCAAATTCTATTCCAAATATTTAATTCACTCATCAGAAATCCAAAATAATCTACTTTGGCCAGAATATAGCACAAGTCCTGATGTCTCAACCGTTGTTTGCTTTCAGCGTTATCAAAATGTCCACTTATCTCTGAATTCATATGTAATATTGATAATTTGTAAATGAGCAATGTATTATATCAATAAAGTAACCATAATAAACAGAGCTTTCATTAAGTGTTTTCATTGTCTGGTCTACTATTAAAACAATTTTGTTCAATTCTTTTATTCCGTTTCACTAATGCAGTATTGCAGATGATACGAGATATTCTATACTTCCAAAGTCCAGGAGAAGTATCTTGTTTCACACGTGCAAATTACAATACTCTGCTATTTTGAACAGCAAGTAAAATCCTGATGATTATATTAAGGGATCCCCAATGGCTTAACTGGTTAAAGTAGTCAGCATTATGAAAAAAACTAGTCCTTGACTTGATGACCATTTTATGCTGAGTTAATTGATCTCCGCTCAGACGGTGAAATGGGCAATTCAACTGGCCAATGTGCACTTTTGTTGATCCAAGTTTTCTCTTCCTGATAACAATACAATGATTCCCAATGAACATATGGTAACCTAGCTAAAAGCAGAACCAAACTAAGCAATTGTGCCTCCATGGAGTACTATTGATACTGAATGTATATGTAAACCTGTAAAACTTGACTCTTTAAACAAACTTTGTCTTTCAGTATTATGGTGGATTTCACCTGCTCAAAATCTACAGTTTAATCCTTAGTATTCCAGTTACTGATAAAAAGAGACAAGGTTTGCTTTGTGAGCAAGTATGTTAAAGCTTATTTCTGAAAATTAATTTCTGTCACACGTGAACAGCTTTAATATTTGTTACAATATAATTTAAGAAGTACTCCTTGGATTAATGGAAAGAGGGCCAAGGTTATCATTTTCGATTTAATAACCCATTACCATGCAGAGGATTTATTGTTTGAGAACTAAACCTTTGTTTTTAAAATGATCATCTCTGTTTTCTAGCATATCGACATTTCCAGTTAAGTATCAAAAGTAGAGGCTGCAAGGTGAACTTCAAAGATTTATGGGGCCAGAATTGTTAACTGTGAGCCAATCCTTTGAGTTTTGCTCAACTGCCTTCAGAATCCGGGAGAACCTTTGTAAAGCTTTGCCTCAAGGTACTAAATAAATTGGGTGGAGTATATGGGTAGAGGGCTTTATCTTCTGAAAGCACTGAATCAATACCAGATTTAAAGAGTCAGTATTCACGCAGGAGTGTAGACCACAGGTTTTCAAACCAGCATTCCCATTCTGAGGGAATCGTGAGATCTGTGAACTCAACAGATTTCTGCCAGTCTGTTTTTTTTTAAATATGTGTTAAATAATAAACGCATCACTTCTGTTATTATATATGTATACATTTTATGCAAAGATTTGCCTTTTCAGCAGTACATGCTATCATTTGTAATTTAGAACAGGAGCTCAGGCGCTGTTATTTTCTGCATTTTAATTACATCTAGCTTTGGAAGCAGAAAATGCAAGTGTCATTCTTCCACTGTTTATACTCAATTGGGAACGTGATTCTGCAGAAGCAGCGTTTCAGAACCCAGAAGAAACCAATGAACCATGAATTCCTGTATTTGCATAACTAAATTTAACAAGTATATTTTCACAGCAGCATCAACAGCTGCTCTTTTCATGGGTCTAGGATCAAGAAATAATTCACGCTGTGAAGTGAGATCTGTACAGCTGCAGCTGATGTATTGCTAAGCAAAATGATGTTTGCAGGGGGCCTTGGACATGGTCAACAATTTATAGGGAGTTTTAAAACACTGGCCACGAGGAACCCAAAGCTGGGACCTGATTTTCAGGAAGGAGACGGAAAGCTGGGAAACAGAGCTAGAGTAGCATTGTTAATTAAAGAGAGCAGTATTATTGGAGTGAGAGATGACCTTTTTCTAAAGTTCAAGACACAAGTTCAGGTTGGGTAGAAACAAGAAACAGTAAGGGGGAGAAAACATTTGTGACAGTTTACACAGGATCAAACAGCAGCACAGTATGAATCAAGAAATTGGAAGTGCATGTAATGAGGGAAATATAGTAATCTGGGGGGCGGGGAGGACGAAGGGGTTCAATCTACATATGGCTAGATAAACCTAATTAGTATTAAATGTTGTGGAGAACAAATTCTTGAAATGTATGCAACATAGTCCCCTGGAGCAGAATGTTGAAAAACCAACTAGACGACAGGTTTTTTTTAGATCAAGTATAGTAAAAATGTAAAGGGGCTAAGTAATAATCTTGTTACACAGGTGTCTTTAGGAAAGAGTGACCACACCATGACAAAATTTTACGTTCATTTTGAAACTGACGTAGCTCAACCTAGAAATGCGTGCCTTAAATCCAAACAAAGGACACTACAAAGATAGTAGGGTCAAACTGGCTATGGTGAATCAGGAAACTACATTAGAAAGGTAAAAGGTAGACAGGTAAAGGCTAACATTTACAGAACCAACAAACAGTTTAGAACAAAAATACATTCCTTCATTCACATAACACCAGCAAGACACAGGTTCCAATCGTGGCCAACAAAAGAAATCAATACTGTATTAGATCAAAGAAACAGACCTATAAAGTTACCAAAAAAAGTAAGCACAAAGTTTGGGAGCATTTCAGAATTCTGCAGAGGAGGATCATGAAAAAGATTAAGAAAGGGAAAATGGAATAGATGAGTAAACTAGTTAGCATCGTTAAAAGGAACTGTAAAAGTTCTAATATATATGTCAAAGGGAATGATTAGCAAAAACAAATGTAGGTCCATTACAAGCGACGTTAGGAGAATTTATAATGGGAAATAAGGAAATGGCAGAGAAACTAATTGAATACTTTGTCTCTGTCTTCACGGGGGAAAAGAAAATAAAAATCTCTCAAATAATGGAGAATTTAGGAACCAGTGTAAACAAGGCTCTGCAAAGTTGGTAAAACATAAGTAAAAATAGTATCAGAGAAGTTTATGGGTCTTTATTTGGATAAATCCCCACACCTGATGAACTACGTCTAAGAGTGTTGAAAGAGGTGGCTGGAGAGAAAGCAAATGCTGAATTGATAATCTTTGAAATTTCAATAGAGTCCAGAGTCATTCCCAGGGATTAGGTGTTGGCAAACTGTTTAAGAAAGGATAGAGAGAGGGAAAATTAGGCATGCTTACTAAACCTGTTGGAGTTTTTTTGAGCATGTTACTAGCAACATACATAAGGGAGGAAAACCAGTAGGTGTGGTACATTTAGATTTCAGAAAGCTTTTCGGAAGGTGGTGAATCTTTGGAATTTGCTACCCTAAATGATGTGGAGGTTCGGTCATTGAATAGGTTCAAAACTGAGATCAACAGATTTTTATGTATATAAAACCTCAAGGGATACAGGGATACTGCAAAGAAAATAAAATGGTGTGGAAGCTCAGATGCAATTTCATTGAATAGCAAATGATGTGGAGGTGCTGGTGATGGCGTGGGGTGGACAAGGTCAAAAATCACATGACACCGGTTATAGTTCAACAGATTTATTTCTAGACAAGCTTTCGGAGTCTCGCTCCTTTTTCAGGTGTCAGTGAGAGAGGTGGCATCAGACACAGAATTTATAAGCAAAAGATCAAAGGGTTATAGAACTGATACAAATGTGTCGTCGAAATCTAAGATGGCTGTTAAATCTTTAATCAGTTAGAAAGGATTAATATGCAAATTATAGAATTTCTTGCAAGTCACTGCCCCGGGATAACTACTACGTGCATGGCAATACTCATGCAACTCGGCCAACGTTGCCTATCTCATATGTTGCAGGCAAGGATGTCCTGAGGCATGGTATATTGACGAAACCATGCAGATGCTATGACACCGGATGAATGGACACCATGCAACAATCGCCAGACAGGAATGTTCCCTCCCAGTCAGAGAACGTTTCAGCAGTCAAGGGCATTCGGCCTCTGATCTTCAGATAAGCTTCCTCCAAGATGGACTTCAGGGTACACAACAATGCAGAATAGCCGAGCAGAGGCTGATAGCCAAGTTCAGTACCCATGAGGACGGCCTCAACCAGGACCTTGGGTTCATGTCGCACTACAGGTGACCCCACCACACTATGTACTCTCTCACACACACACACACACACAAATCTATGGGCTGAATGTGCATTTGCAGATATATTCTATTTTGTTCAAAAAGCACACAATTTGTAGACAGTCAATGTGGCATTTCATAAATTCCTACTTTGGAAATAAAAGCAGTGTGACTCCAAATAGGCACACAGCCAGATTCTAAACAAGGTCTCACACCTAAAATGCATTCTCTGACCTGGGATGTCACCTCTGGTATACTGAGGGTACTATTAAAACTTTTAGCTTTCTCGGGGCAGTGACTTGAAAGAAATTCTGAAATTTGCATATTAATCCTTTCTAACTAATTTAAGATTTCGCAGCCATCTTAGGTTTGTTCAACACATTCGCATTTGTTCTATGATGTTTTGATCTATTCCTTATAAATTCTGTGCGTGATGCCACTTCGCTCACTGACACCTGAAGAAGGAGCAAGACTGCAAAAGCTTGTGTCTTCAAATAAACCTGTTGGACTATAACCTGGTGTCATGTGATTTTTGACACTGAACAGCAAAGACAGCTCAAAAGGGCCAAAAAGTCAACTCCTGCTCTTGTTTCTTATATTTAAAATAGGAAAAACACTGGTCTGAACAGGTATAACAGGGGCAATCTGTTTGTGAACAATTGTGAACAAGAATCCACCTATCAGTCTATGCAACAGTTTTCTTTTGGTCCGTATGGGCCAACTTTTAAATATTTAAAAATATACCCACTAAATACTCCTTTCCACAAGCAGGGTTGCACACATAATGAAGTTAAATATTGCTTTAAAAAGAACATATTTTGTCAAAGCTTTTTGTCTTTGACTCATCAGGGCAATTTACAAGAATACCAATTCAAGGCTAGAACCAACATTTTAATAGCTGTGGGAAGTGCTGAATGGTCAGCAAGTGGACTCTGATTGATGGAGGTATTTGCATGGAGAATGCACCCATTAATGCTGATTGTCAGTTCTCTGTAGGCTTTGTTTACAGGTTGACTGATTGATCAGGGCATTGCTCAGAGAGATGAAACAGCAAACCATCATATATGGGTATATTCTCCATTGGCAACATGTTTACCAACCAGAGTCCACTCGCCAGCCAATCAGTTCTCTCCTCTCATGCAGTATAACTGTCGGTATCCCATTGCATGGGTATTTGTGCAAATTGTCCTGATGAGCACAAGACTGAAAGCCTCAACATTTTTTTTCAACAATACTCCAGTTCTGTACTACTAAATGACTATTAATAAGACTTACCGTAAATGGACAGAGAGGGTCTTTTTTACAACGATTAGCTACGTGCATGTTATTGTGCAGAAAATAAGGAATATGCTCGTCAGGCAATGCAACGTCATTGTATAAAGGCACTATTTGGACTCCGTCTCTATTGGTTTGGTCATTTTCTTCCAGTCCAAATGCTACAGCAGGCTGAATTGGAAACTGAAGCAACATTAACATCATGAGTGAACAGATGGTAGACCTACAAAAGAAAAATTTAAACTTCTAGCAGATTTTCATTAGTGGATTTGCAGCAGACAATAATTCAACTGCTCCTATTTAAATAAGCAAGTGTCCTGAATGCTACAAGCAATTAAATATTTAAATAGAAGTGATTAACTCAGCTTTGAGGTAATAGAGTGTCTTTTATTGGAAACATGTTTCCAAACTTCAAAAGATGTTTACATCCAAACAGCAGCAGCAAAATTTGCCACATGTATGGCTCACTGATACAAGTTACTTTTCTGATAAGACACTGAGTCACCTGCTTGAGATTACAATTTAATTTTATCCTTAAAATAAGATACTGAAATAACAAAAAGCACTTAGAGACATCTGGCTCATTCAAATTTAAGCTTTATTAACTTGACATAATATATTAATTTAGTATTCACATGACTGATAAACAATTAAAAGCCTGAAAAACTGGTGAATGCATATGTCTGAAGCATATTATTCAAATTCTTACCAAATACATTAAGCTTGTTCACAAAGACTGCTTCATACTAGTGGATATCTCAACTATGTTTCTCATGCACTGTCATTTTTGTCGGCCTCGGCTAGTTAAGTATAATTGGTTTCAATCTATTTAAACATGGTATCCTTAAGACCCTCCAAAACAAATTAGACGCTTGGCCATAAACTACGCAATCATGGATAGCTCAAAATGCAAATGATCACAAATTTATCTAGTCTATGTTTCTTGCAGTTGTAGCTAATAATATGTTTTTCTTTACAGCACTTGCTTAATTTTGCCTTGGAGGTATCTAACAGAGATAATCATAGAAGTAACATTTTCTGAAAATTTCACAGCCTGGCCTTATTTCTTGTAAATTTGCTTTTATCAAGCATTACATCAAAATGTTTAATAAAACAAATTTGTCTCCAGTTTTATTGAAACACTCTCTGCTCTACATTTAAATTTCCCTGCAATGATAATATCTCCTTTTACCTGTGAGCGTATCCAAATTCATTTTCAATTATGGCATTTAAGTCTTCCTTTTCTATCCATTCATGTTCTTGTTCAGTTTCACTTTCCAATTCTGATAAGCTAAAAAGAAAAACAGTTATTTCTTTTCACTTCCTGAGTAAACTCAATATCCAGTGTTCTAAGAGATAGTAGGAACTGCAGATGCTGGAGAATCCGAGACAACAAGGTGCAGGGCTGGATGAACACAGCAGGCCAAGCAGCAT